ATTTATGCAAATAAAGTTATAAATATATTATTTTTATTATTATATAATTAAACCAAGAAATATCGAAAAAATTTAATAATTTCTCAGTTAAAATTAAGATTAATTATGTGGAAATGCACACCCGTTGGCGTAAAATAAGAAACTTTAAAACTTGTTTTACTTCCTTGAAAAATAATCAGAGTTAATGAGTAAAACACTGCTCGAGAGCTTCTAATTCAGGGGGTTCAAAAGATTCGTAATTTATCAATCATTCTGAGTGGAATTTGTGAAACAGTGATTCAACGACTTCCATCTTGCCTTCAATGACTTCATATCTCATTAGTAATTCAGGAGACCGAATTCTCCACAGTTATTAATTGTAAGCTCCATCCAGGAATCGCGGTAATTTGCTAGGTTTTGAGGGGAATTCGAACGAATTTTAGCACGGACATCGGAGACACTCTCACCTGTATGGTTTCATATGATTGTGAGCGAAGCTTTACTAGATGTTTTTTGTTCACAGGAATTCAATTTATTTAAGATAAGGCGATGTCGTGCGAGTTTCATTTCAGCTTCCATCAAAGTTCGCCACTGAGTGAGAGTTTCCATGTTGTAAACATCACCTTAAAATTAAAATCATTTCATGAAAATATTTCTGTCAAATAACATCTGAAGTACTTCTTATCACGCAATCGGAAACCTTTCTCCCCTTAAGTTAATATACTGATCGATAGTTTAAAGAATGTAGACAAAATAATTTATTGCGAATACCATAACTTCGTTACGTGTACAATTGCTTTTGAATAATAAATTCACCGCTTAATGTGAAAGGAAGTAAATTGCGCATGGAAGTGAGAAAATTACCTGAAACCTTGTGATTACCACATTTACAACTTTTGACTGTTTTTTTTCAAGTTCAGTGTAGATTTGTTTAAAACTCGACCATTCGAACTCGAATGGAAGGTGGTGATGGATTCAATTTAAGATGTGCGATAGTTTGGAAGCTTCCACTAAGAACCAACCTCAATAAGGAGGAGAAGAATGATGGAGATTTTAGAGAATTTTGTTCTTCTATTTGTAGTGAAAGTGAACACCCACCATTTTTTCTCCTTGATCCCTCTCGCTCTGCACCTTAAGGTCTCCTTAATTTTATTTCTTAACTGTTTAAGCTCTATCGTTTCAACTCTTTAAAAGCCATATACGAGAGTTCATTTTACCACATTGTTTTCTTCAGAGATGAGATCTTACCCAGATACTCCATTGGTCTCGCTTTCTTTTCGTCAAGGTGACTTACATATATCAATTCTCGTCTTGATTCGTTTTGCCATCCGCCTAGATTTACTCTTCCTATTCCGTAATACAATTATTGACCATATGTGTAGGTGTAGCAGAAGCTAAACGTAGACGAGGTGACGGTAATCATTATGTTGATTAACAAGTTTTTTTCCAAGATAATTTGCAGAAAGTGACGTAGTGGGTAGACAATTTAGGCTACTTTCAAGAAAAAATTGTCAGTGACCTGATGGTGAAATAATATACCATTGCAATCTATTTTAATGGGGACAAATGTGTATGAACAAAATGAGTTTGTTGGTCATTGATTGGGTGCTTTCCGATTGGTTAGATGGTTGGAAGTGTTTGACCAATCGTATACGCGCACGTGCGACACTGAGTGACAATGCTAACCAATAATCTTTCATCGTGGGAATTTGGAGTCATTCTAACTTCCTTCAATATTGTCAACTGACTAAAAATTGCGAGACAAATACATTTTGTGAAATTAATTGGATGCTTTTTCACCTCCCTTATATTTATACTCTTGAATTAATCTTTTCATTTCAGCATTTAAGAATAAGTCAAAAATTTATTACTTTTCATGCTAGTAAGTATTTCAGAACGCTCATATTGTTCATTAGTTCATTTCGCTTTATAAACTGATCAAGTTATACAATAATGGATTGCAAGGATGCTGAACGAAAGCGAATATTAGTACGTCTCTATGACAGAAATCATCTTACTCGATTCATATTCTGCAGTACTTCTAGCCAACGTTCTCGTTGTTATTCAAATTTAACAAAACCTAA